AAACATACACAATCTTAATATCATACATCTTTCAAAAACAATTGAATTTATCTTATCATTAAGATTAAAATGGTGAGAAAAACTTCTTCTTTTTTGTTAGAGGGCAACGAAATTAAATGGTGCAAATGCATTATTGTTTCACTTTTTTTTTTTGTCACAATCATTATTCTTTCACTTTTTTTTAAGAAAATATAATAACTATTTTGACAATTACCAAGGCTTGGAAGTACTTTCTCTCGGTAATTATAATTGCATCACACCATTTGCAATACGGATATGGTCAAACGACGTTGAGCATTAAGGATTTACATCTAATGCTAACAATTCAAACACTGATTATTCTCAAGTAATATTTTCTAATATTAATCATTTTCAGTCAGAATTTAAATAATAAATTTCGATCAAGAAATTAATTTTTTTGATAGGCATTTCAAAACGCATGGAAAGCGTTATGTGAAGCAAAAGGGGAATATGAGGCAACATCTCTAGTAATACATGCCAACGAAACATATACCATACAACCACAACTGTTTCTAGGTCTTTGTGTATCTCGCAATCTTCATATTCAAGTATGTACCAAAACAATGCTTAATATACAAGATGCATGCAATTACATTGACCTTTGATATTTGTTAGTTAGAATGTAATCGAATGATCATATTTAATAAAATCTTACTGTTTCTCGGAATATGTGTGATTATATATAACTTTTTTTTTGCAAGATTGATGGAAAAATTGAAGCACCAAAGGTGATAAAAGAGTGGGGAGACATAGAAAATAAGTATTGGTTATGTTTCAAAAACGTTTCAGGTCTCGTCCTCAATGGGTCTGGTCTCCTCCATCCCCACGGTGAAATTTGGTGGTACTCTGTTGATCACTCCCTCCGACCACGGGTCCGTATTTGTTTCTTTTTGAAGATCGATATATGTATATATGTATGTCGAAAGGATTGATAGGAAAATATATTTTTCTAAGATTATCAAACATTTTGACGATTACCAAATGAGTTAAAAGTTACATTTTATATTACTTATGCAGGTAGTCGGATTTAATGGAAGCAGTGACATTGTATATAGTGGACTAATTCAAATGATTAGCCCAAAGAATCACATTTCAATTTTTAATTGCACTAATGCAACTTTATCAAATCTTCATCTAATCGCACCAGAAGATAGTCCAAACACTGATGGCATTGACAATGCTCTTTCGAACACTATCCAGATTTTCAGTTCATCTATTCAAACAGG